GTGCTTTTATATTTGCCGCAGCGTCTTTGAAGTTAACGCGGCTCCTTTGATCTGATCTTTCACTGCGCATCTAATTAAATGTTCTCAGCCGATCAGACGAGACGAGACAACTGTATTGATAAATATTCTGGATATCATAAGAGAACGGTCGGCTTTAGGTCCATTTGCTCTTTCATATTTTTCTTAATTTACTATTTTCACTTGTTCTGCTCATAGGATTTTAAAGACTTTTTAAACAAATACGAAACATCTCAAGAATGTTTTTCATTTGTTTCCTGTATGAACATTCTTTTTTGCTTTGCTTTGCATACGTGGTTTAATATTATTATTATTATTAATAATATATAATAATGTTTATTATCATCATCATCATCATCATCATTAACATCATTAATAATAATAATAACAATAATAGCAACAATTATTATTAGTAGTAGTACTATTGTTACTATTATTAGTTTATTTTCAAATGTATTTCATTAATGAATTTTTTTAAACCATGCTTCAAAACTTTATTCAGTTCATTAGTTAAGGAAACCTCCATCACCTTCATTTAGACCCAGATTGTTTTGCTACTTTTAAAGATGAGAATCTGTATATTTTGTCAAAGTTTCTTTTTAAGCAGTGTCTTATTGTAAGGTGAGAGATGCTTGAGGGACTGACTGTGCTGGTGTTTGTCGCAGTCCGATCAGAGAGCAGAAATGCATGAATACACACATACACTCATGATGAGAGTAAATATTATTTACGAGCTGAAGATCACAGGCAGAGTTTAGAGTTTAGTATTCCATATTGTAAGTTTATATATATATATATATATATATATATATATATATATATATATATATATATATATGATATCATTTAAATAATACAGAAACATTACAAACTTTGATTTAATAGTTGTATGAAACATACAGGGAGAAATGTTCATATGACATCATAATGCATATCATCTTACATCTCTGTTGTAACTGCAGCGGCTGTGCTGTGTGAGGATAGCTGCAGTGAGATGAAGCTGATCGCATAATTTCTAGTCAAACTGCCTCCTCGAGATGCAGAGCTGCTGCAAGGACAGATTCACATCTTCTTGTGGTTCCTCTGCCTGTCTGTATCTGGATTTATGACCCCGCAGCTGTGAAGACTTTTTAGTTTGGAACACGTCCAGCTCTCACCTCATCCGAGAAGCTTTTACATCATCATATTACGATGACAGATGACAGTACATACGGTACTCTCTGAGCACTGGTGTTCCACTGCCCTTATCCAGCCGTTTAGAGTGTTAAAGCTATAAACACTAAATAAATTACAATACTCTGCTTTTACTATTTTTGCCCTGGGTGTTTTGCACTGTGTTATTAATATGAACGGGATAATGCTATAATACAGGACAGCATAGAACAAAGTGAAAATCTCTGTTTAGGCCTTTAATCAGTCTGGCTATGTACATTCTGTCATCAACATTCAAATTATCACTGTGCTCAAACCTTTGGCCCAGTAATATGACTAATACAATGCTTGTTTGAGCACTTTCATCTCAAACAGAGGAGCATATATTAAGCCAACCTTAATCTAAATTAATTACATGGCTTTGATGTTAGAGTTCAATGGGTTGATTAGTGGAGCAGGGACATGCATATTCCTGAAATCGTTACTGCAAACACATGCACTCATCTCTCTCCACTTTGTGTTTCTCACCAACTTGAGCATGTCATCTCTCTTTCTTTGCCATATACTGCACATATACCTTTTTCTGAATTCAGATTTGATCTTTCCCCTGCATTCTAAAACAAGAAAGAAAGCTATATAGATAACTATAAAGATATCTATATTAGTGTCTACACCAAGGCACAGTAACGTTCTGTTTCTTTTAAGCGCTGCCACTTTAAATGCTCCAGCTCTTTAAGGGTGAATTCAGGTTGGCTCTTGCTTTTTTTATCATTCATCAGCTGGAGCAAATCATTTTGAAAGTGATTCCAATGATATTGTGTGTCATTATTGCTATAGTTGTTGAATTCTTTTAAATTCAGAACGATAAGGCTATATCCTTATCATTATAATTATGGTCCATTGTGTGAATGCCCCTTTGTAAAAATAGTGCCTAATGTATTGTGTTAATATGAAGGAATTTTCCGTATTGAATTTTCACAGGTGTTTTACCTGTATTTTGAATTACACATTGCATTTAGTTGTGTTTTAGGGTTAAAGGTAATGTCCATAAGTTAACGGATAATGTCCTGGCAGATACTTACTGTACCAGTACCTTTTCCATTTTCACTATTGCCATTATTTAGTCCCCCTCATGTCATTTCAAACCTGACTTTTCTACGTGGAACACCAAAGGAGATCTTCAGCAGAATGCCTGAGCTGTTCTCTTCCATACATTGAAAGTGGATGGGGACCCAGACTGTCAATCTCCAAAAAATGACTAAAAGCCCCTAAAAGTAGCCCATACAACTTGTTTTTTTCTGAAAACGTAGGATATCTTTGTGTAAGGAACCTAATGAAATTTAAGCTGCTTTTCACCTTGAAAATCTTGCTTCTTTACCACGTTCATTGTATGGATAAACCCATGCATCTAACAAACATATGTTCTAAGAATGTTTTGATAATATTTTTTCATCATAATTTCATAATTATATTTTTTCATAACATGAAAATGTTATTTCTGAATGTTCTCTGAAAAAAAGGAAAACAATTAAATTTTTTAATGTTCTCTGAAAAAAAAGGAAAACAATTACTTTTTTTTTCATTGGTTATGTGGGGGATGGTGTTCAAGCGAAGCCCTGGCATCCAGTCTATTGAATGAGGGGACTGTGACGATTTGTTAATCTAATGAATAATTGATTTGTTAAATCAAATAAAAATTAGTGTGTCAGATTGGTCGAGACGCTACAGTGTCTACACCAAGGCACAGTAACGTTCTGTTTCTTTTAAGCGCTGCCACTTTAAATGCTCCAGCTCTTTAAGGGTGAATTCAGGTTGGCTGTTGCTTTTTTTATCATTCATCAGCTGGAGCAAATCATTTTGAAAGTGATTTCAATGATATTGTGTGTCATTATTGCTATAGTTGTTGAATTCTTTTAAATTCAGAACGATAAGGCTATATCCTTATCATTATAATTATGGTCCATTGTGTGAATGCCCCTTTGTAAAAATAGTGCCTAATGTATTGTGTTAATATGAAGGAATTTTCCGTATTGAATTTTCACAGGTGTTTTACCTGTATTTTGAATTACACATTGCATTTAGTTGTGTTTTAGGGTTAAAGGTAATGTCCATAAGTTAACGGATAATGTCCTGGCAGATACTTACTGTACCAGTACCTTTTCCATTTTCACTATTGCCATTATTTAGTCCCCCTCATGTCATTTCAAACCTGACTTTTCCATGTGGAACACCAAAGGAGATCTTCAGCAGAATGCCAGAGCTGCTCTCTTCCATACATTGAAAGTGGATGGGGACCCAGACTGTCAAGCTCCAAAAAATGACTAAAAGCCCCTAAAAGTAGCCCATACAACTTGTTTTTTTCTGAAAACGTAGGATATCTTTGTGTAAGGAACCTAATGAAATTTAAGCTGCTTTTCACCTTGAAAATATTGCTTCTTTACCACGTTCATTGTATGGATAAACCCATGCATCTAACAAACATATGTTCTAAGAATGTTTTGATAATATTTTTTCATCATAATTTCATAATTATATTTTTTCATAATATGAAAATGTTATTTCTGAATGTTCTCTGAAAAAAAGGAAAACAATTACATTTTTTAATGTTCTCTGAAAAAAAAGGAAAACAATTACTTTTTTTTTCATTGGTTATGCGAATGTTAAAGACAACATTAAGTGAAATGTTCCATTTTATTATTGTGCGAACAGACATTATGGGAATGTTAATTTTAAATGTTCTCTAAACCATCTTAGACGAACATCCAACTAAAATCTTACAGAAAAACATTCCATGATATAGAATGTTTTTGTACTAACGTTTTGAGAACATTATTAAAGACCACATACATTTGAATGAACATTCTAGTAACAACTGGAATAATTTTTGTGTATAACTTTGAGAGAAATTTTCCAGAACATTCCCTGTTCCCTGCTATAAAGTCAGCTTGGATATTCTGCTGTCAGTAACAACTGTTTTCCACAAAAAAAAAAAGATATAAGGGTTTGTAAGTTATGACAGAATTTTCACTTATGGGTGGACTTATTCTTTTAAAATTAGGACTGAGGCCTTGTCTGTGACTGTGTCTGCATTTACTTGTTTATGTTCACACATGGCATTTGCAATGTTAAATGGTGAACAAATTATAGTTTTCGGAACAACATATGCATACATTTGCAAGTCAGTTCTACGTTCTCTTAATGAATTCAGTTTAATCATAGATAGACAGACAGATAGATGGATGGGTGGCCAAATGGATAGATCATAAACGTGCAAGTGAGTTCTACATTCTCTTAATTTGATTTAATGATAGATAGATAGATAGACAGACAGACAGACAGACAGACAGACAGGCAGGCAGACAGACAGACAGACAGACAGACAGACTGATAGATACTTAAATGGATGGATGGACAGATAGATCGATTGGAAGATCATGTCCTCATACTCTTTGTCACATATGGATTTTGCCGTCTTAAATGTCTGTCGCATGTGCAGTGAAATGGCTTCTACTCTCAGATCTTGATTTGGTCCATTCTGACCTGTCACATGTCTGCAGTCTCTGTATTTATGTCTCTGTGCTGTGAGTGTATTGCCGGGAAGGTAATTGCTTCTTAACACTGTAGAAAGCCATTCAGTCTCCTAAAACCCAATGAAAGTGGAATATCTCGGCTGTGTGGCTCAGTTCGGGATGTTTTACAGTTCCTCTCACTTGAGTGACTCATAACCTCCTTTAAAGAGTTTTTCACAGATCAGGAGGTGAGTATGACAGTGATCTTGTCATAGTTTGAATCCAAAGAGTGTTTTTTTAATTCTTAAATGAATTTCACAGATGGCAATGTCAGCATGGATATTACTGCTCACTGCGGGTGTGTCTGTCCTGGGACTGTCATGGGGTCAGCGGACTGAACCCATGTTTGCCTCAATAACTCAGAGTGTTTTCCCACCGGACTATGAGAATAACCCTACGCAGCTCAACTACGGCGTGGCTGTCACTGACGTATGAAACGGTTTCATAAACAAGGCTCTGATGGAAATGCTACTGTAAATGGATGTTAGTTTCATGTAAATTGTTCATGTCATTTCATGCAGGGAGAGCAACGTACACTGACAAGCTCTTTAAGTTTCGTAATGGGCGGTTTGAGGATCTACTGAATGATGACATAAATGAACACAGAGACGTTGCCAATCGCGTGGCTGGCCGGTCACTCGCATGTGTGGACAGAAAGGTAACACCTCTAATAAGTTTGTGTTGAATGAAAGCTTTTGCAAAAGCTTGATGGTAGAAACACTTCCTTCAGGAAAACCAACCAGGTGGAAAAATAAATAATTTGTATGTTTTCCTCCAAAATCGCACAGATCTTCTAAGATCAGGATTGCCATCTATATCAGGGATTAAACAAAATTGAGGCTAATCATTTCCAAGTCATGGATCAAATGATATGGGAAGTGTTTTCTCCTCCAAGTTGATAAGTTAATTTATTTTTCTACCTCTTCATTTTGACATTTTCAGTTACATTTGCTCTTAGTATGTTTCTCAGTCAAAACAGACCTGTGGTCCATTTTTGGATGGGGAACCACAGCTGTTGTAAACGTTTCCAGCTAACAGGGAATGTTCTCAGTACTTTGTCTAATGTTCTGGCAACGATCTCTTAAAGTTATGAACAAACGCTCTTCCAGTAACATTAATGGAACATTCGTTCAAAGTTAGCTGGTCTTTAATAATGTTCTCAAAATGTTAGCACAAAAGCATTGTTTATACATCGTTCATGGAATGCTTTCATAATGTTCTTAGAACATATGTTTCTGGTTATTCTCAGCTCTAAAATATTGCACAGACTAGAAATTGCTCTTCTTGAGTGCAGTCTGTATAAAATGATTTTTAGAAATGCTCATCCAGTAATCATGAATGACTGAAAATCATGGAAATGTCTTGCTCAATGCATTTGGAAAACCTGTTTGTGAATTTTAATGTATGCGAATAGTAAGTTGCAGCCTGAGGTATGTATTGATCATCAACAGGATTGCAGAACATCAGCATGTGGAATCTGAGGGAAAGTGAGTTCTTAAGGGTGTTGAGTGACTGTTTACATCCCGTTACTGTCTGATCGTTTCACCCTCACAGACTCAAAATCCTCTGCGGCCATCATTTGCTGTCCACTATTACTGTTGAGTCCTGCCCCCCTCAGCCAACCAATATGATTGTTCATTTCCAGCGTTCTGCAATATTTGTCTCTGACATTGAATCATGTGCTGTGATAATTAGAAAACACAAGGCCTCATTTGTTTCTTTTTGTAAGGAGATGTATTAGGTGGGAAGTGCTGCCTTAATTTGTCTCTCTGCACGTAGGTTATCAGAGCTCCCACCGTCTGACTGTGCTTCACTGGTACCTAATCCCAGACGGCATGATGAATGGCCAAACATGTCAATGACTTGTATTTAGTCCAAAACACAATAAGCTGAACAGCATATTTCCGCAATTACTTCTGGATTGCATGCTGTTGTGGGGAGCAGTCAGCAGTGAAGGATGCTCAGTTATCCTGGGGAAGAGCTTCGAGGGATTGAAATGGATTAACTGCACTTGGGTTCTCACTACGCTTGCTTTCAGTGGATTGACTCTTTACAGCCAGAAGCGACAGTTTAATGCTAAAATGCCTTAATTATGGATTTGTTTCTTACAAATGCACAGCTTTTTGCTTCACAAGATGTTAATTGATGGACTGGAGTCATGTGGATTACTTGTGGATTCTGCTATGGCTGTTATAGGTAAAATTTGCGTCAGCAAATCTGAGAAAAAACTGATAATATTGTGTTTAAAATATAACTTAATATTAACTTCTTATGCTTCTCTATCTAAACTGTTGTATAAAATTACATTTGAACTTGTGCTATTCAGGAGAAAAACAACACTGGTGTGACATTGCTCTCACTGCTTGTGTGATATCGCTTATCATATTATATAAAAATGAGACAAAAACTCATACAGCGGCATTTATTTGGCTCAATATCTTGAATTTTAGTGGCACATAATTGCATTTATGGACTACATAGTTGTTGCCCTGCATCATGTTCGTAAACATCAACTGTAAAAAATGTAAGATGACATACAGATCTGGGGGCGGGGCCAGTGCATTAACTGCGCTAAAATATTTGAATCGCATTATTTTCCCATAACTAATAAATTGAATTAACATGTTAAACTGATAGCTTAAAACATATACAGTTTTCTCTGGGAACTGTGTGCATTGCTCTGCAACTCTGTAAATTGACTTTTTAAGTCTAAAAATGAGTGACAGCATCTGCCACAGTTATAAAATGACCCCGGTATATTGTATATTCCATTCAGCTTCAGAGCCATTAATATTCAAATGCAATGTGTTTTACTCTCCTTGAAACCAAAGGATTGTCACTTGTCACTTCAAAGTGGACAGTTAGACACATGAGCCTGTTTCTATAAGGAGATGGATTGGTCCTCACATTCACCTATCTGCATGGGTTAGTGGATACCTGCATTATGTGCTTATTGCAGTTTTCTCTCCTAATAATACATAAACAACCACATTTTATAGTTTAGTCTGCAACAAAAGAGTTTTCTCTTTCTCAGATTTGTGCATAAATGACTAAACATTGACTAAAAACTAAATATTGTTAATAATGTGTGGTGATATTTGCTTAATAATAATTATTTAGTTTATTGGGTGGGGGTGTCAGTACATTTTACACCCACCTTTTAACCCGTAATTTCGAACCCAAAACATTTTTGCATGAACCCAGCGATGGTACAAAATATGCTTTGAAAGTATTAGTTTCGCATACTTTGCTGTACTTTTCTGTAAATCTAATTCGTTATTGATAAACAGAGCATGAAAAACATGGAAGTCATGACATTACAACCTAAGCTGCTAATACATTCTGGGGCATTGTCTGTTTTAACTCCATTATGCTTTAATCTGTATTTGCTGACCTGAAGTGGCGGTTATGTAGAAACCAGAGAGCGTTTGACATTTTCATTGTTGTGCCTCATTAGGATTCTGGTCACGAGCTGCTGATATTTATATACTTATTATGTACATATTTCTTTATTTCACCATGTCCATGCTGTTGGATCGTGGGTGTCTTTATTGAAAATGTGTGCGTAAGTTCATTTGCTTGGCTTCTTCACTGACTTCATGTCCACAGGGAATCTTTCTGATAATGGGGTGTGAAATTAATATCCAAGGGGAGGCAGTTGAAATATGTGTGTGGTGTGTGAGAGTATGTGTGCATGTGCATGCAACTGTATGTGGACGAGTGTTTGACTTATTTCTCTTATGTTATATGAAGATCACGTAAATGTCTTGGAAACTTTTTTTGCGATGTTTTTTTATGTCTTGAATGTGAGAAAATGATTTACAGTACATCAGATTATCCACAAATTACACGCCACTGCAACTAATGATTTTGCCCCTAATTGAGTTTTATATTATTTCTTTACGTTAGTGTACTTGTTTACTAAGGAGTAGTAAACAATAACATAAATATATGTTTATTTACTGATGGACATTGTAAATTTTTTTTTCAAAGTTGTCAATAAAACAAAAATGATTGGATTATGTTTTACAAGAAAATGCTATTTCAGTCTTTGAACTTCAACATTTCACATTTAATTCAATGTTACTTGTAGGTTATTTCTGAAATTTAGCAATTTTTCTAAATTGTTTATGAGCTGAAACATTATTAGTAATCTAATCACTATAAACTCAATGCTTATATCTTTTTTTTTTTAGGGAACAGGCCGTTATTCCATTTACATTGCCAATTATGCCAGCGGAACTGTAGGTCCACATGCTCTGATCGAAATGGACGAAAGTTCAAGTGACCTGTCCAAGGGAATCATTGCACTGTCAAACGTGGCTGAGCAGGCCGGAGTCAACAAGTTCACAGGTGTGTGTCCGTTTATTTATGAATATGTGAGCGGGAGTGTGTAAGTGTACGATGATGTCAGTGAATATATTACCCAGGACTCTTTAACGGCCATGAGCTGAAGGATCCGGGTTTTTTGCCTTGTGGCTGATTTACAGTAGAGCTCAATGCTCATATCAGCTTTGAATAACTGAGTTATAGACAGTGTTTATCAGCTAAAGCAGCCAGTAATTGAGAGAACTGGGCCCTGGAAGGCAGCGCTGAATAAAGAGATGGAGGTTTTGGCCCACTCAGCTGTTTACTGCACTGAAAGTCATGTGAAGGCACAAGGACAAGTGAGCCGTATTTCAGCTCTGCCTTACTCAATGAAGCAGCCATTCCATTAATCACTATGGGGAGACCACCGTTCAGAGCAGTTTTGGAGAGGCACTCTTGAGAAGGGTTCAACCAGGACAGTCTCAGAAGGGAAATGTCACTGTAGCAACAAAATTAAGCTTTTTTGATATTCTTGCCTCACTATAGAGGATTCTGTTAAAGCCTTGGCAGGCTTCATATGTTTGAAAGACGCAAAACATGGAATGGCATCAACCACAATATGTTTTAACTTATTTTATAATTTAAGTAATTTAATTGAATACAATTTTTCATTTTTTTCACATATTTCATATTTCATTCACATTATTCACATATTATGACACATTAAAATGACACAAAACAGAATGTTTTCAACAACAATATGTTTAATTTCATTTAAATTACGCATGCTATTTTATTTTATATTTTATTTCATTATTTTATTTGTTTGAATGACACAAAAAATGTTATGGTTTCAAGCAATACATGATTGTTTCATTTATTTTACCAATGCATTTATTTTATTTACATATTTTATATTTCGCCTATTTTATTCACATTATTCACATATGTAATGAGGAGGCTGAAGCTGCATTAGAATCCATGTGCTGAAGTTTAATAAGGACAGTCCAACAATCACAAACGTGAAGTCCAAATGGCAAGCAGGCAAAGGAATAATCCAAAGGCGGTCTATTTTATTTTTTTAATTATTTTTTATTTATTTTATTTTTTATTTTATAATTTATTTTATTTTATTTTAGATTTTAGTTTATAATTTATTTTATTTTTTTCTTCATTTCTTTATTCCTATCCTAACCAGTCTGCAACAATATAAAATAATATAAATACTTACAACAAATTCTTTAATACAACAAAAAGTTGTTCCCTCTCCCAAATTTCTGTTCAAATGTCTTTCAAATATATTTGAAAGTAAGAGCTATTACAAATCTTAATACCATGCTCGTATTTAGCATTAAGAAAAAGCCTGGTCCTGCTGGGCTTTAAGAAATACAAGCACTATTTTCTTTAAAGCTGCTTCGAAACATTGTTCATTGTGAAAAGCGCTATACAAATCAAAAAAATTACTTGCTGCTGTAATTCAACTAGAGGTCAGAGCTGTAGAATAGTGATTGCCGGGTGAGATGTGTTGAAAGAGAGCTGGTTAAATGCACATGTGATTATGGGCAGTCAGAGTCTGTGTCAGCAAAAGCAGCAGAGAGGGAAATGAGCTGGAAAGCCACTAACGATTTCTGCTGTGCGTTTGGTGATGATGCCCCTCTCTGCTGTGTGTTATAGGGGGACGGGGGGTCGTGGTCGGTCCCATTATCAGTCAGACCCTACCTGATATTTTCTGTGACAATGAGTACAGCCCTAACTTCCTGTTTCGCAACAACGGAGACGGTACATTTACAGATGTGGCGGCACAAGTAGGTAAGCAAGAGCTGACGCTTTAAATTTTTTCTGATGATTTTGTTTTGAAAGGTGAGTTTGTTAGCTTTTCACAGCAAACATGCAATGAAATATTTGTATTTGTTGTCGCAGGGGTTGATGACCCGATGCAGCATGGCCGTGGAGTGGCGCTAGCAGATTTTAATCGGGATGGGAAGACAGACATTGTCTATGGAAACTGGAATGGGCCTCATCGTCTGTTCCTACAGCTCAGCAATAATCGCAAGCAAAGGTTTAAGGTGCAGATTTGAAAAAACACTCTTTGCATATTCTTTTAGCTGTAATGGAAGAGAAAAAGTGTTTCTTGCAGTGCTTGACATGCCTGAAACTTTAAAATTGTTACTTAGCTGCCTTCAAAGCACTGGTGTTCTCCTCAGGAAATGCAAATCAAATTTTTTTTTAATTAAATGTGAATATACTGAATGGTAGGATTCATCTTTGTTATACAGAACAAAACAGCATGATCCCTACATTTTGATCTGTGTAATTAAATCCTTCTGAGAGAGGACAGAGGATAAAATAATAACATCTGCTGTCTGATTGGAGTATTCAATTATTCTCTAATCATTGTTCTATTGTTTGCGCAGTGACCTGGCCCTTGTTTCAGCTGATTGTAATTAGTCGCAGTAAGATCGAAGAACCTCTTTATTTGCCCTGAGACTTCAACAGGAAGTTTTATAATCTGCTGACAGCTGAATCAAGACTGAATGTTGTAAGAAATGCTTATTTTTAAATTTTTTGCAGAACCTACTTTTTAAAGGTTTGGGGTCAGTAAGATTTTCTTTTTGAAGAAATGAATACATTAATTCAGAAAGGATGCGTTAAATTGATCAAATGTGGCGGTAAAGACTGAAATATTTCAAATAAATGGTGTTCTTTTGAAATGATTATTTATCAAAAAAATCCTAAAAAAATGTAATGGTGTTTCACAATAATAATAAGCAGCACACATGCTTTCAACTTTGATAATAATAAATGTTTCTTGAGAAGCAAATCAGCATATTAAAATGATTTTTTTGAAGGATCTTGTGACATTGAAGACTGTAGAGTAATGATGCTAAAAAAATTTATCTTTGCATCACAGGAAAAAAAATAAATTTTACAATATATTAGAAAATATAAATATCAGTTATTTTTAATTGTAATAATATTTCACAATATTACTGTTTTTACTGTATTTTGATCAAATAAATGCAGCCTTGGTGAGCAGAAGAAAAAAATGAACAGACCCCAGACTTCTGAATGGTAGTGTAATAGCTTATTTATGGTACAGTAAAATAAAACAATATAAGCTACAAGAGGCTGTGCATTATAATGATTTCACCACAGCTTTTAAAATGATTGCAAAAGCCATATGATAAAAGTCACCAATATTCTGTTTTTGAAAGACAAACAACTAGGAATGAGGATAGCTTGAGTTTCATTTTAACTTTTTTTTTTAATTGTTCATATTGAACATCAAAGGTCTTTGCCAGATTTGAGTATGTTGGCAAACTTAAGAACATTGAGGTTTCTTCTGAAACTCTAGATGAGACACATGTGAGATCACTAGGATCTTTTTCTCAAGATAAAACTCTTAGTCTTAAAGTCTTAAAGAATTTCAATCTGCTCTCTGTAAGCACATTGTTGTCAAGGAGAAACATTTGTCCTGTGGGGCCAGTCAGAATGTGTAAGTCTGCTAATCTTGAACTAATGGTTTAATTAGGCTATGTAATCAAGCCTGTCCTAAAATAAATAATAATAATTAAAGAAGTAATGAACCCAAAATATTATCTATTTATTTTCCAGCAGTAGTTGATCATGAACCTTTGGAGCTCTGTATCACCAGGGAAGTCATGGCCTAATGGTTAGAGAGTTGTTGCGGGGTTGCGGGTTCGAGTCTCATACCGGCAGGGATTGTAGGTGGGGGGAGTGAATGTACAGCGCTCTCTTCCACCTTCAATGCAATGACTGAGGTGCCCTTGAGCAAGGCACCGAACCGCCGCAGCAAAAAAATGGTTTTGGATGTGTGCACTTTGGATGGGATAAATGCAGAGCACGAATTCCGAGTATGGGTCACCATACTTGGCCACGTGTCACATCACTTCAGAGTGTGTCAGGTAATTGTGTTTGACTGGACTGTTGTTATGGATGGATCAGCGATGTGTGTGTAGGTCTTCCTCAGCTTTAGTTTGATATCAGTGTTAGTGATCGGCTTCTTTAGTATAAATGTCAGTAGGAAACTGTTTTATGGGGGGCAATTGTTGGGTTAATGTATCTTGGGAGACCTTACAGAAGGATATTGCATCAGAGTAGGATATTGTGACCTTTGCCATGTATAATTGCATTGTGATTAAGATGCTCTGTTATTCCGTGTGTTAATTCAACCTTGGCTGAACAAGCACACTAGCTAGTGGAAGTGCATCTGTGAGTCATAATAAGGGTGAGCAAAATCAGGTTGTGGATTTTTTGTGGGAGGGGAAATATCTATCTATCTATCTATCTATCTATCTATCTATCTATCTATCTATCTATCTATCTGTCTATCTATCTATCTATCTATCTGTCTATCTATATCTATCTATATCTATCTATCATCTCAGCTGTACCACCTCTGCTGGTTCCTGTCCAGAGATGGCCATCACCTCTCCTTCAACCAGACAGCAGAAGGTCACTTCATGGGCTTTCACCTGCAGGTTTTATGAGCCCTATAATTAAAATTGGGGTTAATACTTGAGAGAGTGCCGGCATGCTCAATAACTCTTCCATGACTCGTTGCTGCACTATTGAAGCGCGACGACAGCAGTTACTTTTCTCTGCTTCCACTCCCTGCAGTTTTTAGACTGTGATTTACCTGCAGCTTAGATCTTTATGTCATAGATATCACATATCTGACTCTCCAAATCTTAAAGCTGATGTTCTCCTGTCAGCGAAGGAAAAATCTTTTCCTGTCCTAGTTTAATATGTAGAGACAACTATTATAAATAAGCCATTCTTTGGTTGATTTTCCCAAGTGTAAAGATTGTCAACACTGTGGTGTTTCAAATATTGATACGCTGATATTCTCTGTACCAGGACATCGCCACACAGAAGTTTTCCATGCCATCTCCCGTTCGCACTGTCATCGCAGCCGACTTTGATAATGACAATGAACTAGAAGTTTTTTTCAACAACATTGCCTACAGAGGACCATCAGCCAACAGACTCTTCAGGTGTGTACAAAAAGACTATACTGACATGCATAGGCAAAATCTTAGAGGGGTGCAGAACGTATAAGGAGATGTTTGAATGGTGATCAAAAACAACAGTAATCTTGTGCATTATTTAATGTCTTTGCAAGTCATTTAATAGCTGCCTGAAGGACAGACTGAAAGTTCGGTCATTATCAGAAATACTAAAAATACCCCCCTGTTATAGTTCTCAAATCTAATAAGGAATATAAAAAAATAGTAGTGAACAACTTTTGGTGCATTTATATACTATTAAAGTATTTATTAATATTTTGAATTAGCTTCTAATTTTATATTTTTCTTTTAGTAATTTTGTTTTGTGTATTTTAAATTTTTAATATTTTTGATAGCTTGCATTGATTTTCATTCCAATTTAGTTTTATTAATTGTAGTTATTTTGTTATTTGCTTATTTTATATAGTTAGTTAATTTATGATATTTTTTTAGTGTTAAAGTTTTTAAGTTAAATTTTTTTAATCTATATTTTATATATCTAATATTTGATTTTATTTCAGCATTTTAATTGACGTAAACAATTTTTATAGTTTTAGTTAACAATAAAACCTGCTGGTTACCATTTACCATAACATGAACATTCTGATACCCCTGATACCCCCCCCCCCCCCCCCCCCCGCCCTGCGCAATTCGTGCACTCTATTTC